TGAAAGTTACTAACAAACTTCTTCTAGGGAGCTTTAGGTCAATAGCTGCTTCCTGCAAGAAAGAACCCGAGAAGCACATTCTCAAGAAAAAGTTGCACGACAATAAATAACTACTATGTCAAACATCAAGAAATGTGTTGAAACTAAAAATTTTATAACCCATGCCAAATATTTTAGGTCATTCTTGCATTAATAACAAGACATTTGATTTCGTGCTTAAATTAAGAATTAAGTCGAGCATCAAGAAATATGTAAAAGGTACAAATTACTGAACCCATGCCAGATATTTTTGGTCATACCTGCATTAAAAACAAGACTTTCAAATTCACGCTTAAATCTAGAATGTCAATTCTCATAAGAAAAGCAATCCTGATGATTTATCCCAAGTAAAAAGCAATTGCTGGACCTTATAATTACGAACCATCTCTAGGTTTGTTTTACCCAATATATCTATAGTCAACAGAATATATCTAACAGTGCCATGAAAAGAAATAAAATCTATCGGTGAGAATAATAAAGAAATTGGGAAAAAGGGGAGCAAAAAATATTATTTTCCTTTCGATTTTTTTCAAAATAACGTCAAGAAACGGTGACCCATATAGTGATAACTCCAGCATTATCTTTACAGTTGTCAATAACTGAACATAAGTTCTGCATGTATCTTAAAATCTAGGGAAAGTGTGAACAAACCATTTCAACTCTCCAATAAGAGTGGTAATACTCAAAGTAGCCCAAATTTAGTCATTAAAAACCAAAGCCTTTACAATAAGAATAACTAAAAGTTCGTGATCATACAGTATGAAACTATTAGAACCATTCATGGGGAGTATATAGAGATCCAAGGAGTAGATTGTTTGCATCAATCCTGAAAAACCAATGTCATTAAAGTAAAACGCATTAACTTACTGTAAACCATTTTTAAGAACCAAATTCTATTTCCTGATAGTAGCACAACTGTCCGATTTTCCTATAATTCAAAAATTTACACTAAAGGGTCCAAATACTAAAAGTAAAAAACTAACATCTTGAATTTTGTGAAAATTATGATTAACTTAGACATCCCAAATGCTTCATTACTCATGTTTTATATGAGAACATTCACAAAAACCTAAATGAACACTGTTATACTGAGTCTTACGAGTCCAACCACGTGGTATCATGGGACCTCCTGACCCAGTACGGAGAAGATCAACAGAAAAAATAAAAAGCCACTTAGAAGGCCAGATCAATAATTGAGGTCTGCTTGCTATACTAATTGCCACTTGGCCAAGACTCAAAGGCAATGTGCACTTCAGAACAAAGAATGAGAAACTGACTAGGTTCAAATGGCCATCCCCAGATGGATGAGAAAGGAAATTAGCTAGTCTTCCTACAGCCAATGAAGGCCAGCATAACAACAAGGCATCCTGCTAAGCAATGCCCTGCTAAGTTTGGAGGATGACCAGCTTGACAGTAGTGTATTGGACACTTGAGACTCTTAAAGAATGTCTTGATGAGATATTAGTATGTCCAGGCCAACTCAGTGCCATGCCACTAAGTCTGTGAAAGTCCGAAGGAAAAGACTGCCGGGTAGACACCTGTCCAGACCATAACACTTGTACCAGACACTTCCCATTGCCTCCTCTCAGACTCTAGTATAACAAATTCAAGATATCTGAAATTAAAACTCAAACTAGATAAAATTACACCCCAACCAAACTTACGGTTTCTGGTTTTGCAGATTTTTGCATTTCAGATTCTTGAAGTTGATGGGGAACTCCCAGCAGGTCATGAGAAAAATGGACAAATTGATTGAACAATGAAGAAGTATGACTTAAAAATCAAGAAAATCAACCGGAATACATAAGCTTATCAATAAATTCAATCCAAAAGATATGCAACAAATAATCAAAACATGTCTAAATATACCTTTAGGGCATCATTTGGAACACATGGCTGATCTGTTTCGGGTATTCTTCAGAATTACTTCCCTTTAAACAAAATGTCACTGGCACTCTAAGACAGTGTTCTGCATCCATCTTCCTTCTATAACAAATTCTCAACCTGTAAATTACAGGTAAATAATTTAACAACGAGCTCGGGTGTACGACAAAATTTTTAATAAAATCAAATAGAATGAATCTGTTTAAGTAAAATCACCCAAGAAGATTGACTTTTTTAACAACTTTTTTATAAGGCATGGATTGAATTAACATATTGATCTAAAACTAAATCCTGCCTTAGTTCGATGGAATGCAACTAGATGAAATTCCTACCCTTCTTCCTCGACTAAATAGACGCTTTTTTACCTTTTTGTTTAATTTAGCAATCATTCGGCGAATCCGCTTTTAAATAGAACATGCAAGAAAAGAGATGTATCAGAAATTTTTCTATTTATTTCGCAAATCGTCTTCTTATTCTCCAAAAATTTGAAAAATAAAGCGAAGGGAAATAAAAAGATTAGAAAATGTAAAATATCACAAAGACTATTATGATCAAAATTTATAATAGCACAGAATGAACACCAAACTTCTTTAAGTAAAATTATCCACAAAGATTGATTTTTTTTTTTAGTTCTTGATAAGGCATGTGATTAAAATAACATACTGAATTAAAATTAAATAGAAAAAGCAGAACAAAAAATGGCGAAGAGAAAGAAAAACAATAGAAATACCTGGAGAAGATGAGATTCTTATTGCTGGGACGAAAATTGAGTCCCAAGGAACGAGAAAATGGAAGAGAAGAATTGGGTCCTTTGATTTTGACATGGGTAGTATGTGTAGCCCACAGATAACCAAGGTCATGAATTGCGGTGCAGCTCATAGCCACCATGGCCAAGAGTACAGATTATGAGCAGGGCACCAAAATACGCAGAGGTTTATTTGCTGTTCTTTTTATACGTTTTCGTCTTACCCCAAAATTATCTGTTTCGATAATTATTTACTTCGTATGGAACTTTAGGTGAAAAAATTGGGTCGTTGGAGGAAGTTGATCCTTGCAAGATTAGAATCAAGAAAAAATTACAAACTGTCTTAGTTTTAGTGTTTGTTTGGTAAGAATTTTGTTAATTGATTTTTTGACCGTTAAAAATAAAGTGGGTAAGATTTGTGAGAGAAAAATTTAAAAATGACGACCATAATTGTGAAATAACGGTCAAAAAATTGATTTTAATTGAATTTTCAGCTGTACCAATCATATTAAGTCCGATTTCATATTTTTGATGATAAATCAGCAAAAAATATAACACTTACCCAAAAAAATATAAATAAAAAAATGAAAAATAAAAAAAAAATTGAATTCTTATTTAATATTATTTTTTATTGCCCATCGTTAATA